CTCCTCCCCCAGCCTGAAGCACTGCACAGGGTTGTGGTGGCTTGAGAGAAGAACCCAACACTTGGCCTGGCTGAACCCCATCCCATTGGCCTGGGCCCATAGATCCAGCCTGGCCAGGCCCCTCTGTAGACCCTCCATCAGCTCAACACACCCCTATGTGTCTAAGGCAGCACTAGGAAGTGACTAAACACAGTCACACAAGGAGTATCATCCACGTTGGGAGACATGATGTGATACCTGGAGCAAGGGGAAGCTTGGGTGGTTTCCAGTCTCTCAGTTTATGATCAATGCAGACTACCAAGATATCATCCCAAGGGATCTCATCGACAGGAGGCCCGTCTCCATCACAGCCCCCACAGGTCCTGTTCTGCCACTTCTGGTAAGTTTTGCTCAGCAGATTCTTCACTCGAGACTGGATCAGTGGTTGAGTGTGGGAAGAACTGGCAATCTGAGACACGTACTGACAAATCATGTGGCAAACAGGATGCCAAGGAGCTGGGGAGGGGGGGAAAAAAACACCCCAACTGAGTAAATTCCAAGAATCTACACCAGAGCCAAACCACCCAGCTCCCAGGCTGGTGGCTCACACGGTGCAGGCACATCAGAGAGGCCAATCTGGGTGGAGTACTCACCACCCAGGGGAGGCAGGTCGAGGTATGGGATCTGGAAGGACAGCACAGCCTTCTTCAGCCAGGCCAGGTGCCCGGGCACGTTCCACTGCAGGTGGGGCAGCAGCTTGTTACCCCCAGGCTCCGAAAACTCCGTGATGGGCCAAGACCAGTCACAGAGGTGCTCTGAAGAGGCCACCTCTGAGAGGAACTGCAGGGTGCTGTTGTAGAGCTCCACGATGGGCCCAGGCTCCTGGGAGGGCAGCCCAGCCAGGCGCCTCTCCCGCCGGTCGCGGTAGAAGCGCTTCCCAAACTCCCCCTCCAGCCCCTCCTCCAGGTACTGCCAGAGGCTCTGGCTGCAGAGCTCCAGGGAGGCAGGGCACTGGGAAACCAGCCAGCCCACGGCCGTCGAGACCTGCCACACACACACAGAACAGGGGTGGTTGGAGAGCACCCTGCAGCCAACACAGCAATCCCAGCGTGGGGGGGTTGGGAGGGACCCCTGGGGATCATCTCCTCCCACCCCCCCTGCTCCAGCAGCTCACCCAGGGGCACAGCCAGGTGGGGTTGGGATCTCTCCACAGAAAGAGACACCACAGCCTCTCTGGGAAGCTGCTCCAGGCTCTGCACCCTCACAGGAATGGAGTTTTTCCCCTTCCTGGCCAAATGGAACCTTCTGGGTTTCAGTTTGTTGCCCTTGCTTCTCACTGGGCCCCACTGAAATGAGTCTGGCCACATCCTCTTGACCCCCCCAAACCCTTTAGTTATTGATGAACATTGATCAGATCCCTTCTCAGTCTTCTCTCCTCCAGGCTCACCAGCCCCAGGGCTCTCAGCCTGTCCTCAGCAGAGATGCTCCAGGCCCCTCAGCAGCTCTCAAGTCTCTGTTGGATTCTCTCCAGTACTTCCTTGTCTCTCTTGAACTGAGGAGCCCAGAGCTGGACACAGTTATGTCCAGAGGTGGCCTCCCTAGGGCTGAGCAGAGAACCTCCCTTGTCCTGCTGGCCACACTCTTCTTCATGCACCCCAGGAGACCTGCTTGGCCACAAGGGCCCGTTGCTGGCTCATGGTGAACTTGTGGTTCACCAGGACTCCCAGCTGTGTCTGACCCTGGCAGCCCCTGAACTGCAAAGAGATCCAATCTGTGAGGGTTTGGGGAGGACCCATCATGCTGGGCTCGTGTTGTTCTCACCTTCTTTCTCATGCACCCTCTTCAGACCCCTTCAGAAGGTGACACAGGGCTGGACCTGCTTTTGGTCTGAGTCAACCTGGCTGCTCTGGGCCATTAACCCTCTTCTCCCACCTCTCCAAACCACCTCACTGAGACTCACACAAAAAGCTGTTTTAGACTCCTAAGTATCATTTTCCATCGTGGGTTTTGGATGAGTCTCCAGGCTACTGTTGCCAAACACACAGCAAACCAAAGGATGAGGGGAGAAGCTGGTGTCTGGAGGCATCAGGGGGAGAGCCACACAATCCCCCCCTCACACACCTGAGAGGACAGAGGCATCCCCAAGTCCCATCCACCACCATGGGATCAGACTGGGTGACCCCACAGCAGCCACAAAGGGTCCTCTGCAGTTTAGGATTGGGAGTTTAGGACTCCAGGTGTGGGGGAAAAAAAATAGGCAGAGAGCTTCCTGAACAAAACTTACACCACAGAAAGTTCCAGCAGAAAAACCCATCCCATTACACAAGACTTGGCTGCAATTGAAGCTACTGAGACCATAATTAATTCCTTATAAGGCATTAGTAATTGAGAGGTTAAATCAGTCAAGTAACTCTTCATGTGAGAGGCTGTTCTTACCCTTCTGGTGCCTTCTAAGTCATTGGTAGAACCTGGGAGCTCAACAATGATGTAGTCTGAAATAAGCTGGGCTGAAATCAAGTCCTGCAGCATCAAACCTTTAAAAAGAAGAAAAGCTGCCACATAACACAGAGAAAGCACCAACAGGCACCTCCTGCCCTGACCAGCTCTCATGTTCTCACTTCTCCCTCCTTCCCCACAGGCTCTCAGGCTCAAATACTGTGTGCAAAGGAAAACTGGAAGCCAAAACAAAGTTCAATTCTTCCCACGTGGATCCATTCTTAAGGCCTGTGGATTTCAAGCAAAGCTTTGTACTTAGTCCCCCCCACTTTGCAAGAGGCTGTATTTGAGAGGCAGTTGTACTCAGGGCAGCCCTGAACACTCCCAAGAGTTTCTGAAGGCACAGAAATAATCACCCACCTTCTTCAACTTCTTTCTCTGTGGCCTCATCTTCCTCCCCGGGCACTAGAACCACCAAGGGAACTACGGGCTGGAAAGGTTTGACCTGGAGCAACTGTTTCAGCTGCAACAAAGCTGAAAGCCAATAAACATCATCTTCTGCCACATCTTCACTCCTGACTCGAGGGGGCAGGAGAAGAATGAGGCCGCTGGTTCCAAGCAAATCTTTCTGCATCTCAGCTGTGTCCAGCTCGGGGTCGGACAGCGTGCCGTGGGCCACCTGCACAGGTCACAGAGAGGACAGCAGGGAGGGAGCTGAAGCTGAGCTATTTCCACACCCAAACCTGCAGTTTACTGTCATTACCAATCCCCTTTGACATTTGTTACAACTTGTGAGGCAGCCAAACCTGGATGTGTCCTGTAAAGAGGTGAGCACAGCAGTGCACTCGCCCCATTTGGTGGCAGGAATTGAAGGGGTTCAGGTTTTAACGACCCCTCCCAGCATCATCTCCCTCCCTCTGACAGGGCACAGTGTGCTCAACACCCACTGGAAACCTGCACACCCTGTTTCTACAGCCTGTCAGGTGCCAGGAAACTCCTCTCACCTACCTTTACACACACACTGACTTGAACGCTCCTGCTCCCTCGCACGCCAGGAGAGTTGAACAATGCCAGGGTTTGAATTCTGCCTTCTGTGGGTGAAGTGTTTTTCTTCCAGCTTTTCTCTCCCATAAATTTGGCTTTCAACCAATCCACCAGTACCCTAGCAGGCAAGAAAGAGTGGACTTTGGGGGGTTTTTGTTTTAAAAAATGGTGGGTTTAAGAGTTTTAGCACCGACACCGCCAAGTCACCACGATCCATCCCAACCCCAAGCTTCATATTCCTTGGATTTTGCTAAATAGCTGTCAAATGGCCTCAAAATTATCCACAGTGCTATGTATCTCAAGGGTTTCTGCTTTCAGTGTGAGCAAAAGGAATTTCAATGAATGCTGTCAGAAGATACAGATTGCTGCAATGAATTAGGACTATATTCTTTAGAGGGCTCTGAAGAAAACAGATCCAAACCCCAGAAGAAGAGAAATTTGACACAAAACAGGCAAAAAATACACATCAAGGCCTGTATGCTACTAGAATTCCTCCATTTGACTGCCCTGCTTGAGAAAGGGACCCAGCAATCAACCCCATTTACTTACCTGCTGGGATCTTCCTCTGCATATTCAGCATCATTTGGCAGAACCAAGAGCACCTTCCAAAAAACCTGTTCTTGTTGCAGGGGGGTATGTTCAGTGATTAATGAGACAAGATCCAGGGGAGTCCAAGCTAAATCACTTAAAAGAGAGAGAGAGAAGCTGGTGAAAAGAGC